CTTGGAAAAAGTTTAATTTGATTTGGAAAAGGTTGAATTTGACTTGGAAAAGGTTGAAATTGACTTGGAAATGCTATATATATGTCTATATGTTTACAACTTTTCTTTGATCGAGTTTTAAATTTAAACATAATTATTCCATTTTTGATATTTAGGCCACTTAATTATTATTCAATAAACTACAAAATGTTCATTGATCCTGTTGTGTATTCGACGTTTCTATCCCGTTTTTAAAAAATTTTTATGCTAACAATGGGACCCTCTTCATTGCTAAAACAACAAATAGCTCAATCGGTACACGATTATGCTTCCATATGTTTCTAATAACAATTATTTCAAAATTCAACCTACTTTTAAAATAGAACCTCGATAACTCAGGCCAGAGACACATCGACAGTCTCAGTACCGTCCACCGGCACATATATTAAGCTACTGGATCGCTAAGCGTCTGCCTACCCTGGTCCTGAGCCCGAAGGCAAATTATCACATATCAAACTATGAAAATTGCATCTATTTTATACAAAGAAATTGAAAAATGCATCCATGATAAATATAACAGCAAATATCAAATACTTTAAAATTGCTAAAAACATAAATAAATATCAACTACTCAAAATGTATGTACATTAGTCATCTTATAAAATGTCAACATTATAAAATCATAAAACAATATTAAAAACTATTTAAAAAACTCAATTATAGTTCCCATTCTATAATTGTATTTTCACCTTTACCAAACAAACACAACATCAACAGATACCCATCCCTAAAAATAAAACGAAATCCCTCATCTAAATTGTACAAATTTTAAAATGTTGCTATACGCACAATTCCATTTAGCCAAATCATTCCGAGTATTTATTACGTTTTTGGTTCTTCCAATGTGAATCATTTCTAGAATCAACCGTTTTTGCTGATTCTTTTCCATGTCTAGTATCTTGACTTTATCAAACTCAATTTTATGCTTATTCTTAATAGCTAACGCCGTATCTTCTTTTTTGCTTTCAATGCTATATTTATGAGCATAAACCCACCTAGATAAGTACTGTGAGATTTGTCCGACGTACTTTCCGTCACAATCTGAAAATTTTAATTCATAAATAACATTGGCTAGTTTTTCTCGGCTGGTCCAATCTTTGAGTTGAGAGAAGAGGGATTTTTTAAGGCTATTTTTGTCTCTATACCCAATACTGACATTGTGACCCCGAAAATTCTTTTTATTTTAAATGAAAATGGTTTTATGAATTTCATCGAAAAATATTTTTTTGGATTGTTCTGTTTATTCTGATGGCGTGACAAGCAGTCATACGCTCCTCTCAGACACTTTTAAATTACGCTCTTAGGGTAGCTATTGAATTTAAATATTTCTTTTATTCTTTTTACATTTTCTTCTTTAAAAGAAACATGAACTTAGAGCAATAGCTCTATGAAATAGGTTTTTCGCCGTATTAATTTTTATACTTAAATCGTGGCATGATTTTTTTTTTTTTTTTTTTTTTTTTTATTTCAATGGAATTTACAACTGTATTACATAGAGAATACAATAAGTAAATGAGAAATTTGTAACATGGCATGTACAACATGAAGAGAAACTACCCATTGGTAGAACTCAAATTAAAGTTCTATATTAGAAGATCCCGAGGCCATCTTCTTTTCAGACGCCTCGGAGGATTATCAGGGATCGAGGATGAAGCAAGGTTTGAAACGAGAGGATTCGGATGATTCTGCAGTTTGTTATGGAAGGAAAGGTATCTGGATTGGGCCAGATCGGAAACATATGGAACATTAAGGTCTTTATGGATGATTTTATTTGTGACAAAGTAAGGAGCGTTGAGGATTTTACGAAGGATTTTGGATTGTAAGGATTGGATACGAGAGGAATTCGATGGTTTAGTGGAGCCCCAAAGCTCAATTCCGTAAGTCCAAATAGGTCTTATTATTGTCATATATACGAGTCGTTTATAATTGATTGAAAGCTTAGATCGTTTGTCTAGTAAGTGCTGCAGTAGTCGAAAACGTCGGGCGGTTTCTAGTCGTTTCAGTCTGGTATGGGGGTTCCAAGTGAGTCGTTTGTCAAGGTGGAGTCCTAAGTAGCGGATTTGCTCAACAGGAATAAGTGGAGTATTATTGAAGGATACTGTAGGACAAGAGGTCATAGGTTTACGACGGAGGGTAAAAGTGATTTGATGGGATTTGTTGGAATTTATTTTTATTCTCCAATTTTTACACCATTCTTCAAGGCTTGTGATATGTGATTGAAGAGTTTGGGATGCAATTAAAGGATCGTTATTAACTGATAGGATACACGTGTCATCGGCATAGGTGGTGATGACAGTGTTGGATTGGGTTGGGATGTCAGCTGTATAAACTGTGTAAAGGATAGGACCTAGGATACTACCTTGAGGAACACCGGCAGACTGAGTAAAAAGAGATGAATAAGCATTGTTATGATTGACTTTGAAGTATCTGTCAGTAAGGTAGGAACGTATAATGAGGAAGTATGTAGGTGGTAGGAATTCACGGAGTTTGTACATCAGTCCCGGATGCCAGACTCTATCAAACGCCTGTTCAACGTCGAGAAAGACTCCCGTGCAGTACATTCCGCGCTCCAATGCAGAGGAGACTACATCTACCACACGATGGCATTGCTGAATAGTGGAGTGGGATGTGCGGAATCCAAATTGGTGATCTGGGATAATGTGTTTAGAGTCTAGGATGGGATACAGGCGTTTTAAAATGAGTTTTTCCAGGATTTTGCCCATAATGGGTAAAAGGGAGATAGGACGGTAAGAGGATGGGTGTTCTGGCGGCTTTGTGGGTTTAGGTATCATTTTGACAATGGATAGTTTCCAAGAGTCAGGAAAATATGTGGTGCGGAGTACAGCATTAAATATATAGGTTAGGAACAATATGGCTTTTTTAGGAAGACATTTTAGGATCTGGGAGGTGATTAGGTCATGGCCAGGAGCTTTGCGAGAAGGTAATCTATTAATGATATTGGATATTTCTGAAGGATGAAATGCTTTAGGTGGAGGAGTCAATTGGAGTGGGGTATCCAATTCTGCTTCAATAAACTCAAGGTGGGTTGGATTAAGGATGTCTGGGTGTGGATTAAATGTTTTTGAGAGGTGTTGAGCAAATATTTGAGATTTTTCATCATCAGATCTGGACCAGGTTTGGGTTTCAGTAATAAGTGGGTGGTTAAAATCTTTGAATTTAAGGAGTTTTTTAGTGGTCAACCATAGTGATTTGTCACAAGTAGTAAGTTTTTCTGTCATGTTATGTAAATTTTGAACTTTGTATTTTCTAATTTCAGCTTTTAGTTGGTTAGTTAATTTGTTGTAATATGTCTTATCTGATGGATATCTAGTCCTGTGCCACTTCGATCTTGCTCTGCGTTTTTCCCTTAATAAGATACGAATATGCTGCGGCAAATTTGTCTGTTGGGAGTTGTCAGTTTTATTGGTAGATGTATTATTCTTTATTTTGTCACTTATAGATGTAGTGAATTCTTTTATGGCTGTGTCAATATCACGTTTCGTCTTAAGTGGAATATTTAGGTCCAATTTATTTTCCAGGTCTTTACGAAAATTGTCCCAGTTTACTCGTCCTGTAATCAGTGTAGGAGAGGACGAGGGCTTAGGAGCGAAGGTTGTGTGTAATGAAAGCAGAACTGGAGAATGATCTGAGGAGAGGTCATCCAGGGATTTCATTGTGACATGGGAAGAGGAAATTTGGGAGGTGACAAATATGTCGAGGATATCAGGGCGTTTTTTGAGGGATGTTGGCCAATAGGTAGGATTCATAGGAGAGAGGACAGAGTAACTATTGGAAGTTGAGACAGAAGATAGTATGTTACCACGGGAGTTGGATGATCGACAACCCCATCGTTGGTGTTTAGCATTGTAGTCTCCTGGCATGATTTAAAATTTAAAATTCGACCTCCATGATTTTTCTTTCATACCACGATATTCTTATATCACTCCCAGAGCGGTACATTTTTGTATCTAAAATTGTAATGGAATCGCCTTCCTCAATTTCCGTTGTAAATTTTATATATGGATCCACATTGAAATATTAATTATATATGCAGCGAGGACATTTAATATGGTATCATCCACGTATTTTTTTTTATAAATTGCACCTGTATAGGAATTGTAGAAAGTATCTCCTTTACTAAATCATCCATTACAAATTACACAAGTAAAGAAGAAATCTATGCATTATTATGTTGTATTATTCTAGCTTTGAAGAGGATCCCATTGTTAAATTATAAAAAAAAAAAACGGGATCGCTACGTCGAATAAACACAGAAGCAATGACATTTATACTTATTAATGAATACTTAATTAGTGACCTTATTCCCAATTAAATAATTATGTTTAAGTATATATATATATATATTAGTAGCTTGCTGTCCTTGTGGCAGTACTGCTGGGTTTGTCAGCGTGCTGCCCGGCTTGGAGTATCGATGCTCAATTAAAAACTGAAGAGGATCCCATTATTTATGTTAAAAATAGGGATCGAAACGTTTTTGAAAAATGGAATAAACAGAAGTTGTTTTAAGTCATCTAAGTGTATTTCATGACCTATTATCCGATTCTAATACATATCTTAAGTTATATATATATATATATATATTTATGGGGTCCAGGAAAATTAACCCTGGGGCCCTTAGTTTTTCTCCACAACCATGACATCTTATTCATGTACGACTGTGACCGTACCATGTCATTCATTCATAAAGGCATTTCAATTGAGTTTCAAGGAATAAGGGAGAGCTAATATTGTATATGTTGTGGTGTAACAAACTGCTTTGAACAACTTAATCAAGGATTAAGTCTAAAATAAACTTTTTTTTCTTTCTTCATTTTCAGGACATTAACTTATAGAACAAAGAATTGTTTTACTATTATCCAAGCGTTGTGTAGAAAACTGTATTTCAAATAAGACTTAAATAGAAAAATTTATGTTTAAAAAAAAATAAGCTATACACTTACATTCTAACGACCATTTGTGAATTTCATTCAGAAAATCATCTGGAACTTCGTTGTTTTCATTTCTTATATCTCTTATCCTAAACACATATACAGATTATATATATATATATATATATATATATATATATTATATATATATATATATATATATATATATATATATATATATAAACAAATATCACAAAAAATATACATATTTAAAAAAATATAATTAGATTATTATGTTGCGAAAAAATTGATAATAAAAATTTTGAAATGAAGAATATTAATAAATGTCTAAAAGTAGATATTGGGATGGTCATCAGAAGCCTGGCCTACTTATATCTAAACAATTACATTTAAGATTCGTTTGTAATTTCGAAATGACCTCGGTCGAATAATGGTACAAATTTATTTGAAAAATATTTGTGGATATTGAGGGCCGTTGAGTGGGCGGGGTACCACGGCCAAGAGGGCCCTCGAATCAGGAACTAAAATAAAAGAAATGCATGATATTATTGAAAAAAAAGCTATTATATCCTCATTCCTCCATCCGATTCATAATTTTTCATCTTATTTTGCGGTTCATACACAATAAGTAGAAATTATAACTGCTTACCTTAGTTCTAATAGTTAAAAAAAATACATGCTAGTTAGAGATTCAGCTATTAGTCAAAGTGCAAAAATGTATTTAGATATCACTATAATTATTAATATTGATAACTAACTAGAACTAACCCATAACTATATCACTATAACTATAGCTACTACAACTAATCCAGAAAATATGGGAAGACGGGAGGATACCTGAGGCTTGGATTATGGGACTAATCTGTCCTACACTAATGAAAGACTCCATGTATGAGTGTAGTAATTACAGAGCCATAGCACTCCTCCTGGTTGCCTACAAGATAATATCCTATATAATATCCAATATCATGCTAAATTGGATATATCCGTATTTCGAGAATATAATAGACGACCACCAAGATGGATTCAAAAAAGGGAGGAGCACGCTAGACCAGATATTCATCCTAAAACAAGTACTCGAAAAACAGTGGGAAATATACGAGGTCGTCCTCGACCTATTTGCCGATTTCAAAGCAACCTATGATTGTATGGATAGAAGCTGTATTTGGAAAATCATGATTGAACTGGGAGTTCCTGGTGAGTTGGCGAGATTGACAAAGGGGTGTACAAATGACCCCAAATGTAGAGTCCTAATACAAGGAGAAGTATCTGAAGTCTTTAAAGTTCGAACGGGCTTACGGTAGGGAGATGTTGTTCAACTTAGCCCTAGAGAAGGCAATAAGAACATCACAGGAAAATGGAGGGATGGAATGAATCATAAAATCCTTGAATACGCAGATGATACAGCTGTCCTTGGAACTAATCAAGAGGAAATTGAGAAACTCGTTACGACTCTGATGAGAGAGGTAGAGCAGACAAGTAAATTAAGACAAAACAAAATATATGGCAATAAGCCTACAGTTCCACCTCAATAACATGATCTGCGTAGAAGAAAAATCATTGCCGAGAATAGAAAAATTCAAATACCATGGCTCCAGAATAACATGAATAAATGACTAACGGGCAGAAAAAGACCAGTGTATAACTAGAGCAAACAGAGCTTTCTTTTCCCTTTCAAAGGTATTTAAATCCCAAAAAATCTCAAGAAATCAATGGTGTACAATGCTATGATAAAGCCAGTTCTAATATATGGCTGTGAGACTTGGACACTAACGAACACCCTAGAAAAGTGTTAAAAGATTTGATAAAAAAATTCTCCGCACTATAACCGGAGCAATCTGGGATAAAAGTACTAAGAGAAGAGAGACCAAAAGTGAACTGCTTACAGAAACTGGTCAGTAAATATCCTATGAAGGCACGGAGGTTAAGATAGGCGGGGCATGTAGCTCGTACCAATCTACCTGAAAGCTCTACGTAACTATGAACGCCTCAATAGAAGGTAAAAGGCCACGTGAAAGGCCAAAAATCAGATAGATAGATAGAATCAACAAAGATGGAATAGAGCTGCATGCTGGCAAATGGAAAGAAATAGCCTAAGACAGGCAGAGATGGAGCAGGCTTGTTAATGCGGCAAAAGATCTACATGGTCTGTAATGCCTACAGCAAAAACAAAACGTCTGCCAAGTAAAGTCAGTATAACTTCTTCGCCATTTTCATTGGCTAAAAATATCTATATTACAAGATCTAACATTTTTCATATAAGAATAAAATCTCTGGGGGAAACCGTTTACGGAAATTCAGTAATCCCTTAACATATACAGGTTTGATATTCACTTCATGAGTTTTGTATATTGAATACTAAAATGTGAAAGAGTTCTGCATTTACAGACTGCATATTTGATGAATCGTGATTAAAAAAAAAAATTCATTGCATAATAAACATTAATATCACTACTGTTAGTGCAAAAGACCGTATGTAAAAATCAAATGTTAACAGAAGAGCAAAAGAACTAATTGTTTCTTTATAATTTATTAGTATAATTTCATTATTGATCTCTGCTATTTTCCATCTTGGCAGACTGCTTATATCAGTTGCTGACTACAAAATGCCACCTTTAGCATTAATAGAATTAAAGTTAAAAATATTTACATACGACCTTTCGCACTAACAGTAGTGATATTTACTTAAAAGGAAATATCCAACTTTTTGTTTGTTCGGAATTAAATCTGATATAAAAATATGTGTGAAGTTCACACAACTTTGATATTTATGGATGAATTCGAGACCACGACGAGCTTGTTGAACTTCCATAGAAATAAACACAGTCACAAATAAGTCTCTTTTTTTATACAAACAGAGTAAAAATTAATTTAAATTTACACGAAATATAAGTAACGACAGTAAGTGGCACGCCAGTAACGTTTGGAATCGACCAACCAATACATTATAAATTAACTTTTTGAATAAAACCTAATATTTTATAACCTCATCAAAATAGCGTGTTAACCTAACTCCTACTCCAGATGATCAATGCCTTCGACATTTCACATCCATTATATTGATAACAATTATGTATATTAATTTTAATTATTAAATGGAATTCAATGAAATTGATACCATTTGATTTCTATACTACTCTCAAAACTTCCTGCAAGTTTAGGTCAAATCGAACGCACAGTTTTCAAACTATAGGCGTGTCAAATAATAAATTCCCTAATCCGAAAGTGGAAGTGTCATTTTTTGGAGTAGTGGGCGGAATTCGATCAAATTCATACATACTTGATTTTCTGTTTACCAATCCTTAACTTCCCTCCAAATTTGAGCCAAATCGAACTGGCGGTTTTAGAGATGTAGACCTATCAAGGAAAACACGTTTGCGCATATATAAGAGAAAGTAGAGGACAAAATTCAATAAAATTGACGCTACATTATTTTTTTACCAATATCTACCTTTTATTCAACTTTGAGCCAAATCGAACCAGCTGTTTTTGAAATATTGCTATATCAAAAAAATACGTTTGCGCATGCGTAAGCGGAAATGCTGGCTGAAATTATATAAAATTGATATGCGACTATTTGGGCACCAACCCGCACAATTCCTGAAAATTTCATGAAAATCGGATGATGAGTACTAGGTGATATGCCCGTCACATTGATTGATTGCCCGTCACACTACAGACAGACAGACAGATAGACATACACCGAACCAAATTTGATCCCTGATCTCTGAAACGTAAAACGAGAGTGTAAATTTTCGATTCTGAGTTCATCATTTTTTTTTAACTTCTCGCACAAATACAATGTTTCACTACCTTCAGTAGTGAGGAAGTAAACAAATCACGAAAACTATAACGCCATTGAACCTATGGTATCCACCCTTACCTCAAACCTTAATTATTAGACACCCATGCTCCTTCGAAAACATGAATCTTATGCCTTCCCACCATAAAGGAAATAATATAAAGAAGGGATGCAGCAAGGCGCAAATACCGCCGAACCCGTCTTCCTATTGATTATGTGTATTTTAAAGAACTTTGCAATGGAACTCAATCCGCAATCTGACTAGCTAAAGTCACCTACTTTCATAATGTCCTTTCTATTTGATTCCGATTCCAAATCCAAATGGAAAATACTCCGTAATCTATCCCTGCTAGAATCTAATAATCTCAATTCTTTCCCCTTGACTCAAGGTGACCATTCCTTATCCTTCACTAATAATTCTTCTTCTACTTCTGATATTAAACATCACAATTTCAATCCTGAAGACTTCTTTTCCTCCCAAGGGCCCTACGATTAACTACTTTCAATTATCTTAAAATCCCGCACTAATGATTATGGTCCTTACAATAATACAGTAAAATTAATAAAATCCAGCCTTTCTGTAATTATTCCTGTGCAATTATTCCTGTGCTTTACCATATCTACAACTTTTCATTGCAAAACTTCATATACCCATCTTCCTAGAAAACCGCCCTAGTCTAACCTTTAAATAAAACTTCAAACCCTTCCTCACTTCATTTCTTCCGTCCTATTTCTCTCCTAGTCAACTGGAAGCTCTTCCATCAAATCCTTTCCGAACAAATTGACCTTAGAATAAACCTGAAAACCCCAGAAGACATTGATAATGCCGTACACTCCTTCACCACCATCATTCAACGAGCAGTCTGGACTGCTTCCTCTCCTAATCATTCCCCAATAATTCCTAAGAAAAATAAGTTACCTCATCACATCCTTGAGGTAATCCAAACCAAACGCCGTATCAGAGTGTTATGGCAACGCACCAGCCATCCCACAGATCGCCGTTCCTATAATTATTACTCTAAAAAATCAAACAAGAATTATCCAACTTCAAATCCCAATCCTTTAACTCTTACCTTACCTCCCTCTCCGCTCACGACAATTCCCTCTGGAATATCACCAAAAAAATTCTAAAATCCCAAAATATTTCCCATCCCCTCCGTCGAGGCGATGGCTCCTAGGCGGCGTCTGATGAAGACAAAGCTGAGAAACAGATCTCCTGTACATTTACTCCTCATCCTGAATCCCATTCCATCCATACTACAAAAGTAGAAAAAATTCCTCTCCTCACCAATTCCACTTTCCCAACCACCAACAGCAGTTTATCCT